TGATGTGCAAGAAATAATGTAATAAGAATCTTTGAGGTCAATTTTTAAAAAGTGTAAAATTGTCTTGGTTGTTTGGGCATGGTTCTGCAAAGCAAAAAGTCACTGGTTCAGTTCCCAGTTGGGGCGCATGCCTGGGTTGCAGCTGGGGCCTGGGTCAGGGCGCATATGAGAGGCAATCAACCAGTGCTTCTCTGTCACAGTGATATTTCCCTCCCTTTCTTTCTCCCTCTTTTTGCCTCTCTCTAAAAATAAATAAACAAATCTTTTTTTTAAAAAACATATACAATTCTTTTGGGGTATATGTGAGCAAAACCAATGAGAAGTCTTGTGCTATCTCTGTATACTTCCTGCCTTTTGGGCATTCAAACCCCAAGCGACATGGAGAACCATGCATTTCCCGGGAAGAAGTTTCCTCCCTCAGTAGAAGTGTTTCAGAGTCTCAGTGCATTTGCCATCTGGGAATTCTCCCAATACTCCCCTTTACATCTAAGTGAAGATACTGCAAGCAAGAGCTTTATTGTCCAGCTGAGAAAGAGGTGGCCCCACTTAGCAGCGAGTGCCCAGAGCTGGAAGACAAAACAGCAGACCACGCTCTCTTTCACAGCTAACATCTGATTGCCCACCTTACTCCTGCTGGCCAGAACAAGTGAGGAAAGAAAGATGGACAAACAGACATATTTATGAACTGCCTACCTTGTTTGCATAACTTACTAGCTGCTTTTCTGCAGGTTGTTTGATTTCCATAACAATCCATCCTACAGATGAGAAGACAGAGCCTCAAGAAGTTGACTGCTTGCCAAGTATGTACAGCCTGTCAGCGTAGCTGGGTCTGCTGGCTTGGCTACACTCAGCCTCAAAATCAAAAGATGCATTTGCCCTTGGGCAAATTACTAAATTCTGAGCTCAATCCTCCCCACTTGTAAAATGAGATAATAATAGCTATTATGCAGGGTGGTTATCACAATCTAGGGAGTTAATGTGTAGATGAACCCAAATCTTTAGCATAAGTCTGGCTCACAAAGGCAATGAAGATATGAGCGTTGACCACTGGGGCACAAACTTGGGTTTTCTGGCATAATACTTCTGCCAGCAAAGGGATGGCTGGTGTTTGAGACACAAACCTTCAAGTACAGCTGTCACTTGAAGGGAGCTAACTGAGCAGTAACTTGTCTTAATCTTTACGACCAAGCAGCTATGATGGCTGTTGTCTCCCAGACCTGTCCTGAGAGAACTGGGGCCAGCACCTGTCCATTGCAACGCCTCCTAACCAAGAACTCCCCACCATCCATGTGTTAACATGGTGCAGCCCACAGAACTATGGGGGTTCAGAACGAGTCACCCCACAATGTGCCTCTGTGGTATGCAGTTTGTTGTGAGCTAAAGGCCACTTTAGCCTTGGGCTCAAGAGAACTACTTCTGTCCCTCCACTAACTACCTAGAAGAACTTAACCCAGGGGCCTTGCCCATAATCAAAGATTACCAAGGTTAACCTGCTTTGGCTTATCTATAGGGCGGGGCAAACTTCCAAGCAACTGCTCACCTGACCTCTTCCCTACCTCAGACGTCTCACACACCCACCTCTGTTTCTATCTCTAAACGATCTTGCCTGCGGGGACCCTCACTTTCCTGTGTACGCGGGGTTGCCATACATATGTATGTATTACATTTGGTTATTTTCTCTTGCTATCATGTCTTATGTCAATGTGATTATTAGACCAAAGAACCTTGAGGGTAGAAGAAGCTTGTTCCTCCCCCACAGAACCAATTCAATGTGCAGTAGAAGATTAAAACCATTGCTTCACCAGGTAGAGCAGCAGCTATGAGAGACACACTGTGCCCACTGTTCAGGTCCATGTTTTTATATTACAAAGCAGTGTCAGCTCAGGAGCCACCCTCAGTTTAGCTGCAGATCCTAAGCTTTATCGAAAACGGCAAGCAGAGAAGCTCTATTTGGGTGCCCTGGACTGAGGCAAATCTCACCTGGAGAATGAGGGCTATTCTTCATTATTTTTGAATCACTATTCATATAATCATCATGATTTCTATTCAAAGCACTAATGTGTACGTGTATCCCACAAAAGCAAAACATGCCTAAACTTTTCACTGCAGAGACGAACTTCCCAAGCAGGGAGTTCTTAGGTAGCTTTGTGTTTCTGGCACCACTGGTGTTGCTTGGGCGCCGCCTGTTGGCCAATGACCTTCCCTATTGGAGAAGTGATTGGCACTTACCGCTTGTCAGTTTCTTAGCCTTGGCTTGACTAGTTAGCAATCACCCTGAGATCTGATTTAAAAGGTCTGTGAGACTTCCAGTTTCTGGCTCTGAATGTAGGGAGCTCAGAAGCCACCACTCTATCTTAACAAGTAAAAAGCTGAACAGACTGAAAACCAACTTTTCTAGGATTTGTAAGAGAGGTGAGAACACAGGGCAAAAGGCAGCCCCCAGGATTGGAGAGACCGGCAGGAGAATACAGAGAGTAACAGCTCAACGGAGCAGACACTTGAGAGCAGAAACCATTTCAGGAACCCGTGCTGGATAGGAAACCCTGGACAGTAATTGATGAATTACTGGGGAACTCTGAGAGTTAAAAACAGTCATGGGTGGGGGTATTGTGAAATTTACCTCCAGGAGATTGGCTAGATTCCCACAGTAAATATCAGAGAAAAATCCTCTCACACTTCACGCTAGAGGAGGAGGAAAAGGAACCATTTAAAAACACCCCAGAGTACTCTGTTCCTAACACCTGCCCTCAGAAGACACTAGTTAAGCAGAGCCTCACCTGCTGGGATATTATCAAGGCCTAACTGGCCTGGGGGGAGGGAAATACCTAACTCCAGGCAGCTAAGGCAGAACAGAAAATACCCAGCTCCAAACCATTCTAGCCATCCTCTCTCACCTAAGAGGGGAGAAAAAAGTTAAGATATTTGTGAAGTTGCCAGTTGAGAAGCACAGGCTGACTGAAACACTGAGACATACTTAAGGGACTATAGGATGCTTCCTTCCCCCCAGAACACCTCACCACAACATTATTAAAGGCCATTTATAGCAGTTCCTTTTATCTGGTACATCATGTCCAGTTACCAAGAAAAAATTACAAGATCTACCGAAAGGCAGAAATGTGAAGAGCTTGAGCAAGCATCAGAACAAGACATGGCAGGATCTTGAAGTTACCAGCCAGGAATTAAAAACAACTGTAATTAATATGCTAAAGGCTCTAATGGATGAAATAGATAGCGTGAGAGAATGGATGAGCAATGTAAGCAAAGATGGAAATACTAAGAAAACAAAACAATTGCTAGAGATTAAAAGCACAGTATTACAGACATAAAGAATGCCTTTGATGGGCTTACCAATAGACTGGGCATGGCTGGGGAAAGGATCTCTGAGCTTGAGGATATTTCAATAGAAACCTCCCAAACTGAAAAGCAAAGGGAATAAAGGCTGAAAAAGAAATAGAAAGAAATGTCCAAAGATTGTAGAGCAACTACAAAAAGAGCAACATACTTGTAATGGAAATACCAACAGCAGAGAAAACGAAAGAGAAGAAATATTTTAAATAATAACGACTGAGGATTTTCCCAAGTTAATATCAGGCTCCAAACTACAAATTCAAGAAGCTCAGAGATCACCGAGCAAGAAAACACCAACAAGCTACACCATGGCATAGCGTTTTTATTTTTTTTAAATTTTTTTATTGATTATGCTGTTAGTTGTTCTATTCCCCCTTTCATTCCCCTCTGCCCTACCCCCCCATCCCCACTATTACCCGCCTTTAGTTTATGACCATGTGTCTCAAGTCCTTTAGATTCTATATTTCCCATGCTATTCTTGCCCCCCTTCTATTTTCTATCTACTGTCTATGCTACTTATTTTCTGTACCTTCTCCCCCCTTCTCCTCCTCCCACTCCCCTGTTGCTAACCCTCCACGTGATCTTCATTTCTATGTTTCCACTCCTGATCTAGCTGTCCTTTTAGTTTGCTTTTGTTTTAGGTGTGGTTGTTAATAACTGTGAGTTTGTTGTCCTTTCACTGTTCATGTTTCTTTAACTTCTTTTTCTTAGATAAGTCCCTTTAACATTTCATATAATAAGGGCTTGGTGATGATGAACTCCTTGAATTTGATCTTTTTTAAATTACAAAAAATCAAAGATAAAGTCCTGAAAGAAGCCAGAGGAAAATGACTTTACCTAAAGAGGAGCAAAGATAAGAATTATATCCAGCTTCTCTTCAGAAACTGAGCAAGCAAGCAGAGTGGAGTGAAATATTTAAAGAGTTGAAAGAAATTAAACCATCCCCCAACCTAGAATTCTGTACCCTAAAAAGTTATCCTTCAGAAATGAAGGAGAACTAAAGTCTTCCTCAGACAGAAATCTAGGGAATTTGCTGTCAGTAGAACTGCCTTGCAAGAAATGTTTAAAAGTCCTTTAGAGAGAATGAAAATAATATAGGTCAGAAACTTGGAACTAAATTAAGAATGAAAGAGTATCAAAGAAGAATTAAGTAAAGGTCAAATAAAAACTTTTATTTTTGTTATTCTTACTTGATCTAACAAATAAAAGTTTATTCAAAATACTCGTAGCAATAATGTATTTGATTATGATGCTAATGTATGTTATATATGCTTATATACATGTGAAATGGTAGTTGAGATATCTCTGAACCTTCCTTTTATTTTTACTGCAAACCTAAAACTGCTCTAAGAATGAAAGCCTTTTTTAGAGAAGATCTGGGGTAGGCATGGACATTGGTAGTGCTTAAGTATTGTTACATATATTGGGTGCACAGGTTCAAGGTCATGACTAGCTGCATGTTTGCACCTGACTAATATTAAGCCATAATGGTGAAGTTGTCGGTTTTGTTATAGCATGTGTTTCATAAAGGTGTGTGATATTCTATAGTTAATTCTAATTTTTTTGACCGTGACCTCCAGAGAGTTAAAAAACAACAACTTCACAGGTGCTTCTAATGTGCTAGGGTGATTTCATTTAAAATTACCAATTCAGAGCTCGCTTCAGCAGCACATACACTAAAATTGGAACAATATAGCGAAGATTAGCATGGCCCCTGCACAAGGATGAACACAAAATTACCAATTCATGGTTTTCTTGATTCACTTCACAAAATACTATTGAGGTCCTAGTAGGTGCTAAGTACTGTGATAAGAGATGATAAGCAAAACAAAACAACAACAAAAACCAGTCCCCTCTCCTCATATACATTACAGACATTAATAACATAAGTATACAATTCTTTAATAGTTATTAGAGGGAAGAACAGGGCAACCTGAGTTCAACCGGGGGTTAGCAAAGGGTCACCTGAGGAATTGCCTTTTGAAGCGAGATCTGAAGACTGAGTTGGAGTTAACTAGGGCAGGGGATGTACCGAACTTCCCAATTAATTGCCTCAGGTACCCTTGCCCTTGTTGGGCTAATGGCCCATGAAGTTGGAGGCAGGCCCTCCTTGATCTGACTCTGGCCTCTTCCCCACATGACCAAGCATAACCCTGGATGACTTAAGATGATTACCTGTTCATTTCATTGGGTTAACATGAGAAAAGATTAAAATCAGGAAGCTGTTGACTCTAGGGATGCGTGAAGTCCTGTGGGTGAGGGAGGCAAGGGAGGGAGATAAGGCAGAAGAATAGAAAATCAAATGTAACTTAAAAAGGTGCCATATTTTAGCGAGCTGACTGACAAAGGTGGATGATACACAGGGCTGGTGAGAATAGAAATTCTGTGTCTGACCCAGCCAATTCACTGCTGGGAAATCACCCTAGACAATTACAGGCGTGGGTATGTAGAGAGCCTAGCAGAAAAAGAGAGTGTGGGTGGGCTTAAATAAGTAGGATCCTAGCCCCTTCTGGAGGAGGGGCTTCTTTCTAGAGAGGAAGAGTAAGTATTCTGTGGGAGGTTGTCTCAGGCTGAACTGCTGTTGATCACTCCATGCAAGATTACATAAAAACAGATTTATGTGTATAAACATTTCTGTATGACAACCTCTCCCATCTTTTTAATTTCAGTTGAATACAGCATTTCTATATGACAACCTCTCCCATCTTTTTAATTTCAGTTGAATTCAGCACACGAGTGAGGACCTTCTGGTGCAAAGCTTTGCTGGAGATGGAGAACTGTGTTGTGATGAGAGTGGCTGATACCTGGCCCTCTGCCCACCAGGAACGTGGTCTAGAAGGAAGGCTGACCTGTGACAAATTCAAATACAGTAATTATAATAAAATAAAATAAATATTATGGGAATGAAACGTGTATTTTAAAGTATTATGAGAAGAAAGAAAAAGCACGATAAATTATAATTGGGCAAAGGAAGAGACAGCAGGTACATTCTCACCACCCCCTTTCCTCGGGCTTCTGGATTGAAAGGTATTGTTATTTCTTAATGTTATATGAACCAATTTTGAAATGCTTTGACAAAAATTGAAGCATAAAGAGTAAAAAAAAAATCAAAGCCTCCCTTTACCACTCCCAACACCCCCAATCCCATAACTCTCCCCGTAGGTAACAACTATTGCCAGTTCGGTGTGGATCCTTGGAGAACTTTATCTGTGCATTTATGGACAAACATGTATATAAGCAAATATGTAGTGTTTCGGTCTCTGCGTGTTTTATATAAATGGTAACATTTTGAATTTGTTTTCAACTTTTATTTTGCAGCCCAATGTACTTTAGGGAACTTTACCTGTCAGTCTATTTAGATACACCTTTTTTGAAGACTGTGTTTCATGGTATGGTGCAGGTTAGCTATGAAACTCTTCCCACTCGATCAGACGTAAACTGGGCAGCCCATTGTGGTTGTATTTCATTTGTACAACACCGGCGACAATGACAACAACAAAAACCAGTCTGAGGTTAGCACACGGAGCCCTGCCTTGACCCACTGCTCCAGAGAGTTGGGCCCACTGCCGGTGCCCAGATCTGAGTCTATTCACAGATCCAGAACGGAGGGGAAGCTGGGAGCCCTCTAAGGGGAGAGAGGCAATGGCACCACAAGGGTGGACTGACTCTGGCTCCGAGCCCTCGCCAAAGAGAAGGGTGGGCTCTGACTAAGTAACTACATGCTGACAGAAAGGAAAATACCAAGAGCTTACCAGCCACTGTGGTCTATCAGTGAGGGTGGGGACTCAAGTGGGAGAGTAAGGGGAATAAACGGTGCTCCGATCGTATCTATCTCATTGTAGGCACATTGGGACTTGAACTTAAGGACATTCAGAGATGTTTGGGGTGAGGAAGGAAAGCCTAAACAGAGTTCTTTGTATCACTAAACATTAAAGAAAGGAAGATTAAAATGAGATACCCACTTTACCATGCTGGTTGATAAGTCAATGCGTTGTTTATGGGATGAAAATCGATGCTTTTCCCCTGACCCAGCCATTCCGCTTTTAGGACCATCCCATAGAATTATGCTCACAGATGTGTAGAGAGAAAGCAGAGAATGACAGAAGCTGGCAACCTTCTATTTTACTGAAACCATGGAATCAAAGAACCTATGAGATAAGGTATTTTGAACCTGGTGATTATTTCCCAAGTTCCTGAATTTATTATTGAAACTGATATACTTAGAAATTGGCAGAATCTTTACTCTGGACCCCTAATCCATGCAGTGAGAGCTATTACAGGTGGAAAACCCAGACCTCCCCCTCTTTTTTTTTTTTTTTTAACCAAACCAAAGAGTAATACTGTAACCCTGGGAGAATGGTAGCAAATTAGTGCCACCATCAAAAACCTCAAAGTTACACAAGTGATCATTTCTGTCACATCTGCCATTTATCTGTTGATTTGCCTGATGCACACAGTTTAGAAGAACTGGGAAAATGGAATGACAGCAACTTAAATCGCATCTGCTTTTACAGATGTTGTCTCTTCCACAGCCCATGATATGATCTTATTAATGTGAACAGGGCTTCATCGCAATGAAAGTAGCCATTTGCTTTCACACGGCAGGGGCTGCCGAGCTCTTTCAGATTCTTGCCTCAGACTTACATTAGCTCCATGGTTTTCTGCTTCAGTTTTGTACATAGAAACCTCGATCATCTCACCTGTGCAGGACACAGTCCTGGTCCTCCACACTGGTGTCCCCATGATAGGAACAGGTATCATGGCTGACGTGGCAAGACACCTGCATGCTGAAGGTGGGACATATATCCCAAGAAAAATCAGGCAATTATCACCTCCGTAAAGTTTCTGAGAGTCCAGTAGTCTGAATTATGATGAATAGTTGCTCCCCAGTGAAAGATAAATCTCTTAATTTTGTGCCTTTATAATCCTGACAGACATGCAATAACTTATAGGCCATCTTGGGAGAAGCAAAAACTTGTTAGCTTTGAGTGAGGCCCAGAGAAACAGGAACTTCTCAAGCTACACCAGACTGCAGTGGAAGTGACCTGCCACCTGGACTTCTTGGCCCAGAACATCTACTGGGGTTCAGAGTGTCTGGAAGATTGGGCTGTGTGGAGCCCGGTGCAAACTCCAACATGAGATGCAGTATGAAGGCTACTACGTACATGGCCCAATATTTCCATTACTGTAATTTCTCTGACGGTACTGCATGATTTCTGTTGTTGTTAATATAGTTTTAAAGTTTTGTCTATTGGGTAAAGTATAGATGACGTACAATTTATCATTGTAACTATTTTTAAGTGCACAGTTCAGTGCCCTTAAACAGTTCAGTCCACCATCACCTCCAGAACTTTTTCGTCTTGCAAAACCGAAACTCCGTGCCCATTAACAACCGCTCCCTGTCCCTCTCTCTGCCGAGTCCCTGGCAACTGCCATTTTACTTCCTGTCACCAGGAATCAGACTGCTCTAAATTATTCCATGATCTAAATTTTGATATTTTTACAGTATCTCTTGCTCTGTAGAAAGTCGAGTCTTTCCTCATGGCTCTTTAAAAAATTTCCTGGATATTCTTGTATATTTGATTTTCCTGTTTAGTTTAGGAAACATCTTCTCAAGCTTCATTAAAAAATTCAGATGGGATTTTTGATATTACACTGAATCGCCCTTGCCAAGGTGTGACATTTAAGCTTTATTAAAAATGCAATTTATTAAAACAGGTTAAGTCTATTATAAAAAGTCATGAGACTCTAATAATTGCAAATTGATATTTTTTCCAAATAAATAATACTCAGGTTAATTTTATTCAAGCGAGAAAAATTTTGTCCACATTTAACTGTAAGTATATTCTCAGGATGTTTTTGTTATATCCATACAGAAGGATAAGACTTTTCCCTTAAAATATTAATGAACAGGCTCGTAGGACTTTCTGTTCCTCCAACATATGGGGTCGGAAGGGGAAGGACAGGGCCCTAGAGGGTGGGGTAGACTCTAAAAACTGAGGTTACAATTCAAAATTTCAAAATAGGTTTATATTAGATAACTTAATATCCCTAACTATGTTTTGGCATAGTTAGGAATCTTCTACCATAAAATGATTTGACTCTCCCCAAATTCCACGCATTGGGTGTCAGCCAGCCACGGGGCAAGCTTTTGCTGACCCTCGCAAATGCCATAATTCAATAATTTGTGTGGTAAAGGTACATCTTCAAGCACACCTTAAAAATCACATCTAAGACCTTGCAGCTTATAGTGTGATGTGGGATAGTACCCCTTGCCCAAGAGAAGAAACCATGAAAACCCTACCAATTCTTAACCACTATGCTGTACACTGAAACTAATACAAAATAACATTGACTATAAATTGTAATTGGAAAAAAAAACCCTCTACCAGTTCATGTACAGATGGGTCCCACTCAGATCTTCTAAGCTGAGGCAAACAGCTTACTTCATGCAGTGCAAAGACTGGAGAGGGCGACGGAGGGGCCCAAACTCCTGTAACTGAGAGTAAATGAGGATAAACTGAAAATATGGAGAGAGTCCTTCCTTAGACTGAGCGGCAGAGTTTGGTGTTGGAAAACTCCTAGATCGATAATGAGACCAAAATCCAATGCATTATAATTCTATTTTTAGAAGCATCTGGATTCACCCACTTTAATGACGATTCTTTCACGTGGTATAGAAAATGGAAAGAAGACTTCTCTGGATCACTTTCTAATTGTATCATATTTGAAGTATATGTCACCAACTGCATGCTTAACATTAAATTTCTTTTACAATATACATTAGAAGAAATATTCTCCTCCATATTTACAAATGAAATGTATGTTTTTAGTTTCTTTCTAAGGTTGTTTTTATCTGATTTTGATTATTTTACATATCTCATAAAGGAATAGACTCCATTGCAGATGTAAAGGCTCAGTGGTTTACTGTGTTACTGATCATCACTAAGGATGCGACGGCCAGGTCTCTCACGCTTCCTCAGGTGATGCAAAATGAAGCACACAGCCGCACATAGGTAGCAAGTACCCTTACCTAAAAAGGAAAAAAATTGAACCCGAATCTAATCAACTACTGGGTCCAAAAACATGTTAAATGTCACAAGGATACAATCAGCCTAATGGTACCCTTATGTCAAATAGTAGCTCTGCTTTTCAGATAACTGGCGTTTTTACTGAACTAATTCCAAAAATCTTACAAATATACATGTACCATAGTGAATAAGAATTTATCTTATCTTGACAAGAATTTCTTATTATGATTAATTTTAAATTATGTACACTATTTGAATTAGGCAGATGGTATTTGTTATTATATAAACTTGCATAAAATTGAAGTTACATGTATTTTCTGCCTGTTGATGAGCTACTTTTTTTAAGATTGTCCACTAACATTCTCTGCCCATTGTTCTGGGCATTCCCTTGCTTATATTTATGAGACCTTTATTTGGTAAGGATGTTTACCATTCATCATATTTGTTACGATTTTCCTAGCTTCTAGTTTGTCTTTTAATTTGTTTATTGTCTCATATAGATTTTAAACATTTTAATGTTTTTAAATCTCCTGCTATTTTCCCTGAGTTTCTAACATTTCTTTTCAGCTTGGAAAGTCATTTCCCATTCAGAGAGAAATTGTGTTTAAGGAGTACAACCTGATAGGTGTGCAAGTACACATTTTTCCACTTACAACTTGATATTTTTGCATTTAACTCTTTGATCTACCTAGATATTTTTTGGCATAAGCTATGAAAATAGAATCTAACTTGTTTTTCCCAAAATAACAAATCTGTGGGTTGAACACTATATTGATAATTCCTATTTTCATGTAATTATCAGGAAGTGAAGTTATATTGTCCCCAAGACCCCATGGTGCTTATTTTTGCCGACCTGGGGAGACCAATTCTGCCAAAACCTAAATTGCTTTCATTGATATATTTTGTTCAATTTTGTTTTTTCAGGTAAAAAATGAAGGCTAGCTCTTTCATCCCTCCCTTATGTTACTGAATAACCAGGGATCGACTCATTTGCATTTTATGTTAGTGAATATTTTGCCTATTTCATATTTTATATGCTAGTATCACTTAATTTTCATTAATAGCAATAAATTTTTTATTTGCATGCATTATTCTAAAAATAGGAAAGCCAATTTTTTTCAACTACTGTAAGTGAAATCCTGATTGATTCTAGTTTAAAAATGTACTCCTGGCCTTTGTTGGTGTAGCTCAGTGGTTGACCCGCAGGCTAGCAGGTCGAGCGCTGGCATGTGAACCAAAGGGTCACAGGTTCAATTCCCAGATCAAGGGCACATGCCTGGGTTGCAGGCTGGGTCCTCACTAGGGGGTGCATGAGAAGCAATCACACATTGATGTTTCTCTCTCTTTCTCCCTCCCTTCTCCTCTGTCTAAAAATAAATAAAATCTTTAAATAAATAAACAAAAATAAAAATGTACTCCTAAAGGGAAGTTCAAAAATGTTTTTTAAAAAGTCAACTCACAAACGGAAAAAATAAGTAACAACCAACATGTCTATTGAACTAATGGATTATGAAGAAGTAGAAAGAAAGTGAATTTTGTTGTGGATGGAGGGGGACAGAGGGCCACCTGTGCAAGGACAGAGCCAGAGTGGGTCGGCCAGGTGTTCCAGAGAAGCTGCGAACTCCAGCGAGAACCAAGGCTGGATTCTCGTCTGCTGCCGAAATATGTCTCTTAATATAATTAAAGCCCCGAGGTGAAGACATTGTCTGACTCTAGGTACACCGCTGCACTTAAATACAGTAAATGATGTCAAGGAATACGTGCCAAGTTTGTGTGAGTCTCCCAGCCATTCCTGCAGGTCGGAATTGAGCAGGTGGCCGGGAGGCCGTGGGGTGAGCAGAGCGGGGTTGTGTTATCAGCTAAGTTGTTATTACATGTTATTAAAATAGTTCGCTTTTCACACATCTGACTTTTTGAGTTCATTCTCCTACAAATTAGTAAACAAACAAGCCAAGTTTTTCAAGCTAAGTTGTACAACCTTTTCAAAGATAAGACCAGAAAATGTTCAGAAACTGTTCACTGAGGGCCCACTGCTAGCTAGACCAGAATGTGTTAAATTAAAGCTAAAGTTCAACATGCACCCGAGCTTACCAATGTTTAGTAGGAAATACAAAATGTTTGTATAGAAATTACATTCCCTCCCCACGGGGGAGAAAGAAAGCCCATAAGTACCTGTCCTTGAAAGCAGATAGTACTAACATGTGCTTCCTGAAATCGGTGTGATTCATCACTAAAGGGCAGAGCTAGCCTGGGAAGAAAGAACATATTCAGTTGTCCAAAAAGTCCATTTAGTCTTTTCTATAAAATAAAAGGCACATTTTTTCATTTTCACCAATAACTTTATTGATTTGGTTATTTTAAGTATGTCGGCTATCTCCCACAGGGTATAATGTTGATTGTTCCCAGTTGATGTCTCAATTTGATCACTGTCAACTTCAGCTGGTCTACCTGACCCTGGAGCATCATCCAGCGAGAAATCTCCAGCATGAAAATTTCACAAACCACTTTTGACAGATTTGACCCATCATAGCACTTATTCCATACACTACACAAAGTCTTTTTGTACATTTCAGTGCCATTTTTACTTTCCTTGAAATAATAAAGCATAACATGTCAAAATGTGGCTTCTTTTCTTCCATCTTCAATATTAAAATGGTACACAAAAATTCACCAATTTTGATAGTTTTTAAAATGCACTCTGATATGACAGCTGCCACAATATAATCTAACAAAATTGTTTCAAATGAAATTCAAGACAACTAAGTGCTACTAGAGACGGTGTATAGAAAAAAAAACAAATGAACTTTTTGGCTAACCCAATAGAAAGTTATGGAACAACTGATGCCTTCACTGTACATGTAAAACATCCTGAACATGTTTTTGTCATTAGCAGCATAATGAACCACTTTGTGACAATGCCTAGGGCCTATCTAAATATTGGACCAGGATGAAATTGGCCGTGCAGATGTGTACCATCAATACAAAATCTTCAAGTGTCCGCTATGGGTCTCTCCCCAGCCACTGCTGTTAACTTTGGGATTATTTCCTGTGTGGGTCTCACCTCACCCATGAGCCTACAGGGATGGGGGACTAACCCTCCGAAATTCCTGATTCTGGTCTAGTTCCCACCAAGCTCTGCTATATACTCCCTGAAGAGCATTCCAGAGGGGCCTACAGTTCACAGATGAGCTATAAGGATGGTCTCACAGACCTTAATTTACACTCAGAAAAAAAGAAATAGACAACAACCATGGCTTCTTTTGTGCAAAATAAATTTTGCACCTAAAAGACATTTAGCCTTTAAAAAAATTAATTCTTTTGGAGATGGACTTTAAGACTCAGATTTCTAAGACTTAAATTATAGTTGGAAAATGAGCAAGAACAGATGCCGAAAGTGATTGTGTGGTTGTGGGAAGTACCGACAGTAGACACAGAAGAAAAGAGTTTCGATTTCTGCTGAGTTAGTTTCTAGCTGTACGATCTTGGGCGAGTCACTTGACTTACAAACAAAAGATAAGAACAGAACAGAAAAAACGGTTAATGTTAAAGCAGGTATATGTAAATACTAACATTTAACACATCCTTGTCTGCTATACCACAAAAACAGTTTCTGTGATAATCAGTGATAATAATTTTCTTAATTTGTTTCTTTGTTTTATAACAACTACTTTAAAAGAACTGATACATTTTAAAGATATTTCAAGTATGAACTAAAATTTGCACTGACACAAGTTATATCTCAAAACATATTTTTGAGACATATATCAAAATTGACGTGCTATTTCACTGTTTTTAGTTTTAAATGCAAGTAAAAACTCCCAAAGAATGATGGGATTGAAGTACTTTAGGCTCTGCTTCTTCTTTACAATTGTGTGCCGTCATCAAATCTATTGTCTAAAGGCAGGGATATGTCATATAGCAACTGCTGGAGGCACTCGCTATGCCAAAGAGAGCTCGGACAGTCCTGAACAGTTTGAACTCAATAAAAAAAAAAAAAGTGCATACTTACCTGGTAGGGGAGATACCATGATCTCGAAGGTGGTTTTCCCAGGACAAGGCTTATCCATTGCACTTTGGATGTGCCGACCCCTGAGATTTCCCCAAATGTGGGAGACTCAACGGCATGATTTCTGGTAGTGGGGGCCTACATTTATACTGCTCATGTTTTAAGAAGAAAACAAGAAAAAAGACAGAAAAAAGTACATAGCTGAGTGCAAAGTGCACAACTGAGGGTAAAAAGAAAAAGTTCGCTGTATACCTGTGTAACTGGCAGTTCTCCAAGTTAGCTTCTGCAAACAGGATGAGGCTTACCGAAGTACAAATGATAAAGGCCTGTGCTAACTCGAAGTTAACCTCACCTCTGTTGTCTTGAAACAACAGTCATCCTTGGCATTGTTAGACTGACAACATATTTTTTTAAGGAGGAGTATTTTATCATTGATGTTTATTAGAATGGTCAATGAGCAGTGATAATCGAAAGTGGCTCACCTTTCAGTCAGTTTTATTATTGCATTAAAATTCTCTTCAGAGTCCCGCCGTTGTCTGTGCCAGGGGCAGGCTTACCTTGCCCTTGGTAATCCACCCTCCCTAGTTTCCGGCATTTTGCCTCTCTAATGATGAGATGACCACTGAATACCCCACTCCGACTCCCTCAGAGCCTATCCTGGCTCAGGTCTGGCATTCACAGAGGGCCTTACCTTTAGAATTTAGACTTGTGATGTATATGAAGCTATTCCTGTAGTAAAGAGATAGACCAACGACAATGAAGAAGAAATGAATTTTATATGGTGTTCTAGTCCCCAAACATGGCTAAATGGATACCAAGGTCACCGAGAGTAATCTGGAGATTGCCGTGGACCTGTTTTAAAGTGTTTTCAGTATGATCAATAACCCTGGCATTTAGAGATAAATAAGAAGGTGGGAATATTTAAAATCATACTTTTTTTAAACAAAAAGAATAAAGGTAGAAGGTGTTCACCTTATACTTTTTTGTAAGTTTTATTTATTTTTTTAGAGAAGGAAAGGAAGGGAGAAAAGGAGAGAAGCGTCAGTATGTGGTTGCCTCTCACAAGCCCCCTACTGAGAACCTGGCCTGCAACCCAGGCATGTACCCGGACTGGAAATTGAACCAGCGACTCTTTGATTCACAGGCTGGCACTCAACCTGCTAAGCCACACCAGCCAGGGTGACAATTTTTTACAGTATATTTTATCATTATACTATTACAGTTGTCCCAGTTTTCCTCCTTCGACTCTCTCCACTCAGGACCTCCATTCCCTCCACCATTTCCCGCCCCCCCTTAGTTCATGTCCATGGTCATGCATATAAATAAGTTCTTTGGCTTCTTCATTTTCTATACTATTTTTAACATGTCTCTATTTTTTAAAGTTTATTTATTTATTTATTTTTAGACAGGGGGGAAGGGAGGGAGAAGAAGAGGGAGAGAAACATTGATGTGCGGCTGCCTGTCATGTGCCTCCTACTGGGGACTTGGCCCACAACCCAGGCGTGTGCCCTGACTGGGAAGCAAACTGGCAACCTTTTGGTGTGCAGGCCAGTGCTCAATCCACTGAGCCACACCAGCCAGGGCCCCCTGTCTATTTTTTACCTACTAATTATGCTTTTTAATCTCTGTACCTTTCCCCCTTTTCTCCCCCTTTCCACTCCCAGCTAATAACCCTCCAAATGATCTCCATATCTATGGTTCTGTTTCTGTTGTAGTTGTTTGCTTAGTTTGGTATTATTTTTGTTTTTTGGACCCAGATGTTGATAGTTGTGAATTTATTGTCATTTTAATGCTCATAGAACTGATCTTCTTCTTTTTCTTAAATAAGCCCCTTTAACATTTCCTGTAACAATGCCTTGGTGATGATGTACTTCTTTAGCTTTACCTGGTCTGGGAAGTACTTTATCTGCCCTGAAATTCTAAATGATAGCTTTGATGGATACAGTAATCTATATTGCAGGGCCTTGCTTTTCATAACTTTGAATACTTTTTCCCACTCCCTTCTTGCCTGCAAAGCTTCTTTTGATAAATCAGCTGAGAGTCTGATGGGAACTCCTTTGTGGGTAACTCTACTTTTCTCTCGCTGCTTTTGAGATTCTCTCTTTACGTTTAATCTTTGATATTTTAATTATGATGTGTCTTGGTGTGGTCCTCTTTGGGTCCAACTTGTTTGGGATCCTCTGTGCTTCCTGGACTTGCCTGTCTATTTTCTTCACCAAATTTGGGAAGTTTTCTTTTATTATTTTTTCAAGTAAGTTTTCAACTGCTTGCTGTTCCACTTCTTCTGGCATTACTATGATTTGGATGTTGGCACTTTTGGAGATGTCCTAGAGTCTTCTTGTACTATCCTCAATTCTTTTTCTTTTAATATATTTTATTGATTATGCTATTACAGTCGTCCCATTTCCCCCCTTAATTCCCCTCCACCCTGCACACCCCCTCCCACCCACATTCCCCCCCTTTAGTTTATGTCCATGTGTCATAAGTTCTTAAGCTTCTACATTTCCCATACTATTCTTGCCCTCCCGCTGTCTATTTTCTACCTACCGCCTATGCTACTTATTCTCTGTACCTTTCCCCCATCTCTCCTCCTCCCACTCCCCTGTTGCTAACCCTCCATGTGATCCCCATTTCTGTGGTTCTATTCCTGTTCTAGTTGTTTGCTTAGTTTGCCTTTGTTTTGGAAGTGGTTGTTAATAACTGTGAGTTTGCTGTTTTTTTACTGTTCATCTTTTTTATCTTCTTTTTCTTAGGTAAGTCCCTTTAACATTTCATATAATTAGGGCTTGGTGATGATGAACTCCTTGAATTTGATCTTATCTGAGAAGTGCTTTATCTGCCCTTCCATTCTAAATGAAAGCTTTGCTGGATAGAGCAATCTTGGTTTTAGGTCTTTGGATTTCATGACTTGGAATACTTCTTTCTAGCCCCTTCTTGCCTGTAAAGTCTCTTTTGAGAAATCAGCTGACAGTTTGATGGAAACTCCTTTGTAGGTGACTATTGCCTTATCTCTTGCTGCTTCTAGAATTCTCTCCTTCATTTTAATCTTGGCTAATGTAATTATGATGTGCCTTGGTGTGTTCTTCCTTGGGTCCACCTTCTTTGGGACTCTGAGCTTCCTGAACTTCCTGGAAGTCTATTTCCTTTGCCAGATTGGGGGAGTTCTCCTTTATTATTTGTTCAAATAACTTTTCCACTTGTTGCTCTTACTCTTCCCCTCTGACACCCCTATAATTCTGATGTTGGAGTGTTTAAAGATGTCCTGGAGGTTCCTAAGCCTCTCTTCATTTTTTTAAAATTCTTGTTTCTTCATTCTTTTGTTTGATTGTTTCTTTCTTCCTTCTGGTCCACTCCATTGATTTGAGTCCCAGTTTTCTTTCCGTCATTATTGGTTCCCTGTGCATTTTCCTTCATTTCACTTAGTGTAGCCTTCATTCTTTCATCTAATTTGTGACCAAAGTCAACCAATTCTGTGAGCATCCTGATCACCAGTGCTTTGAACTGTGCATTTGATAGGTTGGCTGTCTCTTGGTCACTTAGATGTATTGGCTGTGGGGCTTTGATCTGTTCTTCCATTTGAGCCACTTTTTGGGGGTCTGGTCACACCTGTTACACAGTGGTGGCAGAGCCTTAGGTGTTCACTGGCGCGGGGCAACCCAGTTAACCCACTCACTGGGTTGTGACGCTGTATGTGTGGGTGGGGTCAGAGAGGGGACAATGGTGCTTGCTCCTCTTTCTTTTGAATTTCAGTCCCTTCTGCCACTTCCTACAAGCAAGTTGGGCCCTTCTGGTGCTGGTTCCTGGATGGATGGGCTTGTGTACGTTCTAGGACCCTGTGGGTCTCTCCAGCAAACTCTCCTGTGAGGCTGGGAGTCTCTCCTGGCACCTCAACCCCCACAAGTTTTTTCAATTGGTACTTTTAGGTTTTATTTCCTGGCACTGGGGCCCTGGGTTGCGTGGCCTGCCTCGCTGCCCATTTTCACCTGGTTTATCTGTGTGCAAATGTGTGACCACAGTCGGCCAGCTGCTTTGTGTGCCTCACTGGGTCTGCTTGTTGCCACCCTGTGCCCAGGGTCTGCCAGCGGTGCTTGCACACCCAAGTCCACAAGCCACCGCTTTTTCCTGCCAGGACCCCTCTCCACTGGTCGGCGACTCTACCCCTCTTACCGGTCTGGATGAATGGTTGTTGGACTTCCATACAGTTCAATTTCCTGTCAGTTCTGGGTGCTTTTTTGTTTCTAAATTTTTGTTGTCCTTAATTTTGGCGTGGGAGGGGGTACAGTGTGTCTACCTATGCCTCCATCTTGGCCAGAAGTCTATCCTCAATTTTTTGAATTCTTGTTTATTCATTCTGTTCTGGTTGAATGTTTATTTCTCCCTTATGTTCCAAATCTTTGACTTGAATCCTAGCTTCCTTCCCTTCATTGTTGGTTCCCTATGGATTTTTCTTTATTTCACTTAGTGTAGCCTTTGTTTCTTCCCTTGTGTTTTTGTTGTACTCAATGATTTCTCTGAGCACTCTTATCACCAATGTTTTGAATTCTGCATCTGATAGGCTGGATATCTCTATTTCCTTTAGTTCTTTTTCTGGGGTTTTGTTCTGTTCTTTCAACCGGGCCATATTTCTTTGTCTCCTCAATTTGGCAGCCTCACTGTGTTTGTTTCTGTGTATTAGGTAGAGGCGCTCTGACCTCCTGTCTTAGCATGCCTGTTAAGTTGTATGGGGTGGAGACTTAGGTATTTGCCCAGGGGCAGGCAACCTCCTTCACCGCTGTGTGGCACTGTGTGTGTGGGAAGGGATCGGAGATGGGACAATGCAGCCACCTGGCTTCCGGAGGTTTGTCCAGCATTTGCCCTATTTCCAGTTACTTGGTGTTGAGTCCCAGAATGGGTGGGTTTATATACATTTTTAGACCATGTGAGCCCTTTAAACACACTCTTCTCAGTAACTAGCAATTTCTTCCATTACCCCCACCCCCATTAGTTTTTTCAGCCAGAAGTTATGAGGCTTTCTCTTCTTGGCACTAGAGCCCCAGGCTTCACAGTCTTGTCTAGGGCTGGGATCTCTCACTCCCAAAGTATCCCTTCTAATTTTTATCCACCAAATGTGAATGTGGGACCACTTGTTCCACTGCCTGTCTGTGCTACACCCAGTCCT